CTCCCGCCCCGGCTGCTGGCCCAGGGGGAGCAGAGGCGTGGGGCTGCAGTCTGGGTCTGGGGGCTGTGCTGCTGACCGCAGTGTTGAAAGGGGGCATTGCCAGGGGTTGCCGATTGAGCTGGGTCACTGAGGGGCAACTGTCAGCGATTTGCTCCCAAAGCTGCTGCCCTGCAATCGGACAGGCCCCGCCCCTTTTCGGAGCCCCGCCCATCAGCCGGGCGGCAGGAGCCCTGTGGCCAGGCTGCTTCCAACTCACCTGTTGAGGCTCCGGTTCTCAGGGCCTTGGCCTGCCCATTTTCCTGGCCCAGCGGCAGAGGGGCCGTTTCACGAGGCCGGCTGGTCCGTGGCTCTAGCTCTGGGGCTGAGAAGGGCTGTGCCATGGAACCACTGGTGACGTCTCAGCGCCTGTCGAGGGTTCTCCGCGCTGGAGGGAGAGGCTGGGCTGGCTTCTGGCTGGTGGGCCTGGCAGTGAACTGGGTGGGGCGCGTTCACACCACTTAGAGTCCAGGTGTTTCTACATTCCCGAGCGCAGGGTCATCGGGCGTGGTCCTGCCCACAGACGTGCATGCTGGCCCCAGCCATTGCGGGTCTCTGAGACGCCGCCTGGCAGGAGCAGCCGGCCCGCATGAGATCTGGGAGTTCAGAGAGGCCCACCCAAAGTACTCCCGTGGCCAGTGAAATGTGAATGGGTCAGACAAAGGGTGGCTCCGGCACCACCTCTGGGCGCAGGGCATAGACACGTCCCAGGCGGGGGCAAGATCCGAATCGCAGCTGCATCCCAAGGGCTGCCGGGTATTCGCTGCCCAGGAAAGGTCTCTGACGGACGGGGGCGCTGGAGCCCCGTTACCCGGCCCTGGAACGTGGAGCACACGCTGCAGTGACTCGTCTGTGACTGCAGTGCAAGGGCCCCGGGCAACCTCTGGGCGCAGGGCATAGACACGTCCCAGGCGGGGGCAAGATCCGAATCGCAGCTGCATCCCAAGGGCTGCCGGGTATTCGCTGCCCAGGAAAGGTCTCTGACGGACGGGGGCGCTGGAGCCCCGTTACCCGGCCCTGGAACGTGGAGCACACGCTGCAGTGACTCGTCTGTGACTGCAGTGCAAGGGCCCCGGGCAGGGCGCGTTTGTGATGCCGCCGCTCCCCGGCTTAGAGCCTGGCCCAGCTCTCCTGCTCCAGTGCAGCACGGGGGGCGCCCCATCCCCCGAGCCCCACGCACGCTGATGGCCCCAGGCCTGGATTGAGTCGTGGAGCTGGGCCATTGGCTCTGCCCCCGGCGGGGAACGGAGGGTCCTGAACCCGGCTTGGGGGTTGCGAGGGTTCTGAGCTTCCCCGTTCCCTTCTAGGGGCCTTTCATTCGGGTGCCTGGGGTCCACCCAGCAGCGGGGGGATGGAGAAGACCCCCAGGGCAGCAAGGCAGCCATGGCCCAGTTGTGCTCGGGGCATGGGGGGCAGGGACCCCACACCCTTCCCATGGGAGACGCCACAGAGGGGCGGGGGACGCAGGATCATGGTGGGGCCCATGGGCTTCCCCGTTCCCTTCTAGGGGCCTTTCATTCGGGTGCCTGGGGTCCACCCAGCAGCGGGGGGATGGAGAAGACCCCCAGGGCAGCAAGGCAGCCATGGCCCAGTTGTGCTCGGGGCATGGGGGGCAGGGACCCCACACCCTTCCCATGGGAGACGCCACAGAGGGGCGGGGGACGCAGGATCATGGTGGGGCCCATGGGTCCAAAATCAGCCGGGTCTGCTGGGACCCCTGGCTCCTGTCTCAACCCAGGACTGGAGTCTTGACCCCAGCAGGGCTGCAGCCGGTTCCCTCTGCCCCGCTGTCAGCTGGAAGCCTCGTTCCCCCGCCCTGTGTAACGCCTGGTCTGGCCGGGGGCTGGGTTCCCACCCCCCTGCAAAGCACTTTCTGTCTGCACCGGTGCTTCCCCTGCCCTGTACCGCTCCATGCAATGTCTGTAGGCACCTGCGCCCGTGTATGTGACGTGATAAACCGCTCTCCCCGAGGCTGGCGTCCTCGGCCCTGGCTTGGCCTGTCTGTGTCTGTTGTGTGGATGGCATCTGCTGGCTGGCCGCGGAACAGCATCCCTTAGCCACGCTCCCTGGCCGGGTCGCCCCTGTGCCGTTGGTACCCGCGGCGGGC